GGGTGGTGGGCACATACAGATTTTGTAACTAAGAAATTCACACATGAAACTTATATATTCCTGCTGACCAATATCATCCCAATGAAGTTTAATTAAAAAAATTTTTTTTGAGTTTTCTAATTTGCAAATATGGCATATCTTGTCAATTATTTTGGTCTCATCTACTTTAATTAATCTCAATAGTGTTTTGTGGTTGTCATCATAGTGGTCTTGATGGTCTTTTGTTGAATTTATTACTATTTATGTTCAGAACAATATAAGTCCTATACATTCCACAGAGGTCTGAATGAGTTTAGGAAGCACAAGATCAAAATCATCAAGGGTTAGTAGGAAAGGGGGACTAGATTACTGTGTCCTTCCACCTATTTGAATAAACTGTTGTGCCTCTTATTCTAGGGTGAGGCCAAAAGCAAAATGACCATAATCAAAAGTTGAGCATGCTATTTTTCTTTCAATTTTGATTATGCAAGAAAGTCTTCAACTTCAGAGCTGTTTACAAGGAATGAAGACTTTTCATTTAACATTTTATTTTTAGTATAAATTTCAGTTATTAATATGTAGAGAGAATAGTATAATGAACATCTGCATCCCCATTACTTATGGGTAACAACTGTAAACATTTTGTCACATTTGCATCATCTAATACATTTGTTAGAATATTTTAAATTAAATTATGGACTTTATGATGTTTCTCCCCTAAATACTTCAGTACATATATTTAAAGCTAAAGTGATTTTTCTAGCATGAGGAAGAAAGCAGATGATGGGGTGTTTCCTAACAGTGCATGCGCAAAAGGCAAACCTTTTGGGCAAGTCACTGACTTCAGGTAGTGGAAGAGCAGATCCCTGGTGTGACTTCCCCTGCCCACTACACAGGACCAGTTTAATGACAGCCCACCACACCACCACCTGACATTGTCACGTCCTTGGAAACCTCCAACTCCTGAATCAGTTGTTCCAAGTATGTTAGTCTGTACCCCAAATTGGTGAAGACTTGGTACTTATATGCATACATCCAGGCACCTTCCAAATGTAGCCATGCTTTTCTTGCAATCCTCTCAATTCCTCTAGCATGATCCAGGTAGAGAAGCATAAGAAAAATGACAAAATCTACAAGAAATCTTAGCTAGAGTCTCAAAGTGTTTCTTTTGTAACACATATAAACTATGTGAAATTAAAATTTCAGTTGTAAAACAAAAGTTTCATTGGAACACAACCATGTTCATTCATTTACATATTGCCTACACTTAAGCATTACAACAGCAGAGCTGAATAGCTGTGACAGACCATATGGCCCACAAAGATTAAAATATTTACTGTTGTTTTACAGAAAAAGTTTGCCAATTTCTGTTGTAGTGTTTCTTGTTTGTTTTGATAGAGTTATGGCCTTTATTCTCATTTGTTAAATCAATGTTTGCTTATCTTAGTCACATTGCCAAATAAAACATGCAAGGTGAAATAGCATTTGACTCTTATTTAGTAAAACATCATTAGTGAAGACAGAAATAAACACTAAATTTAAATAGAAAATAAAATAGCCACCCAGATATCTGAGTTATATCACTTAGATTAACTGATGAAATAAATATTTCAAAAGCTTATTATTTCTTAATCTTGCAGATATCCAATTTGACCACATTAATATTTTAGTATTTTATACTGACATTTAGTAGTTAAACCTCACTTAATACATGGGTTAGGAAATCTTAATCTAAATATCACAGTAATGTATTTTGTATCAGAAATTAATGCATTGATGTATATGTAATGTGTGCAAAATTATACTGGTTTTAAATTATAATTGTGTAAAAATAATGTACTACTTTAACAAAAATTATCCTGACATGGGGAAGATAAATGACTTTTTTCTTCACTTTTGTATATTTCAATTTTTCCTTATTTTGCATTTTATAATTATTAAGTTTTCAAATTCTGTACTATTTGACCAATTTAAAACAAAATACCCTTAATCCTTATGAACATTCTTCAAATTTACTTTCCTCCCCACACACCTAAAGAGCCATCTGACGTGGGAAGGACTAAAGCTGAGGTTTAGTGGCTTCAAAATGAAAAACAAAAGGAAAGGCACAAGAGCCAAGAATAAAATTAGAGGCAGAACCAACTTTCCATGCAAGAAAGTCTGCTTACTGTTCTTAGGGGGTGGGGGTGGATACATGAAGGCTCTTAATATGGACAAAATGCCACATGGTTGAACAAATTAAATAAAATACTACTTAATTGCCCAGTGGAGCACTCTGTCTGGGGCTAAAGTGAGGGAAGTATTTTAGCAACTTCCAAAAAAACATTACATACTTATATGTTTTTAAAAGTCCCTAAAGCACTATTGGGAAATAGTTTTGTGTCATAATTTCACTTTTCAGGGAAAAACCTGGTTGCAGGATGAATTTTTTTTATAATTCTAGAAATAGGCAAAGTAGATTTTTTTTTTGCTTTATGTTTCCTGCCCTACCAACCTCAACCAAGAAGGAAAATTATGAACCTTTTGGGATTTAATATATTCATAATTCCTTTTTCAAATATATCAAAAACCTAAGAAAGGTAAATGTGAGAAACGCTTGTAAAGCCAACCAATGACTGGCAGATATTTTTTTATAAAGAAAAACAGTTTAATTCACTGTGAAGAAAAATGCCTAACAGTTTACCATCTGTTGGAATTGTGTAATAATAGCACTTGTGTGACATTAATTGCTATTCTAAATAACATATGGCACGGAGGCAGAAAAGGTAAGCTGTCAAAGAGAATTGTGTATGCTCTGTTATTCCCTGTGGCAAACTGCTAACAGATCACCCACCCAATTTCCTCTTCTTTCTGGGCACGCAGATATCTGATATTTTTCTGTCCCCTTTGTGTTTATATGTGCCACAGACTGACTTCTGGCCAGTGAGTTGTGGGTAGAAGTGATGCATGCCTCTTTCAAGCCTGACCTCTACAGTTCTCACACCTGCAATGCTCTACTTTTCTTCTGTTGACTGAATGGAGAGGATGCTGCAGAGCTAAGAGACAGAAAAGGCCACAAGATGGAAAGAACCACTGTTGCTTGGAGGAGAGCTGCCTGGCCAAGAACATCCACATTGGACTGTGGTGAGACCATCATTCTGTCCTAATACTCTCCTATTTTTAGGCAGAAATTAACTATGAACAAATGGCTAAATCTTCTCTGCCTATAAGCAGAGAACTGAAGTTACTAGACCAGGTGCTCTCAGTTCAGAATTATCTTACCAAAGGAGATCTTTCAAATTCATACCAGGCTTCTCCCAACATGCAAAAGTACCACTGATGGAAAAACTGCTTTTTCTTCATTATGTTTAATTCAAGACAGTGGTAGTGACATCTGCACTGAAAGTTACCCACTAGTGAAGAAATCTGGTGACACTCTAGTTGTTTTGCTATGGTTTGAAATTTTTGGTTCAGATTCAATCTGGTCATTTTCAGATAAAGTAGGAAAGGTCATGCATGTGGCCCTAACATAAGTATCAAACAATCTTTTACAAAAACATTTTTCATTTGTCATCTTACCTCAAGAACAAATATCTTACACCATTTTACACAATCCCTTCTCATTAAGCAAGATGGATCTTCTTAAAGATCCAGGAAACTGACTTTATAATTTATATATATCTGGCATTATTCCCGTGGAAATGAAGAAGAGCCAATTAGCATCTGCCATGAACCAATTTCACAAAGACAACCAGCAACGAGTTTTGAACAATGAGGCTAGATCTGGTCAAATCATTTTTTCCCCTTGAATGAGTCATTAATATAAATTAATTCAAGCTGTCCAATGCTCTGAGTTCTATTCACTTGAATCTTGCTATAGCAAAAGGGGGAGTATTTAATAAAAGGAAGTCAAATCAGACAACAATGAGATTCTTCAGACCAAAATGACATTAAATGTGTTTTTTTATTGAACAAAAAGATAAAACATGAAAGTTGAATTCACCGAGAAAAAGCAGCTTGCCAGGTAAAGCTGCTTTACTTTGTGTTAAATAACTTTATGAACTGAGAGTATACAGGATACATACAATATGGAAGTTACCTCAACAGCAAAGGAGAAGGTGTAATTTACAGTTTTGGAAGGTAAAATTGGGTCAAGTGACAGATTTTTTAAATCAAAATTTCTAACCCTCATCCATTTAATTCAGCATGACTCTACATATGTGCATTCAGTATGTACATACTGAATTCCCATCTCAATGGAAGCTGTTTTTGGGGGGAAAATTAATTTTTAACATATATTTGACATGCCACTCAATTTTTAAAATTTCATACTTGATATTTTATGTGTATGGATGTATTTATACACACTTTTAAAACTCCCAATCTTTATTTATAAGTAGAGGGGCATGCTACATTTTAAAAATTAATGTTGGAGAATTTCAGTTACTCTTTCTCCTGTGCATCTAAGAAACTTTATATGTTCTCAATGCACCCACACAGACAGGTGAGTTGACAGATATGTCAAAAATGCTTTATGAAAAGAGGGAGGTAGCTCATGCGAGTTGGCAATCTTTGTCTATTTCTGTTGGAGCAGGCTGCCTCCCTTTGACACTTTATAATCAAGATGAAAGGAAAACTTTTTATTTGAAACCTAGTTAGCACAGTTGTATATTTACTACAATCCACCTTCAATGTGACTTATTGGGCTTTCTAATGTAAGATGACAAATACTTCATACCCAGTACACAGCATCAAAAAAGCACTGAAGAAACATTTTAAGGACAATAACTTTTTTTTTCTTTTTGTATGTTAAACATCAGCTTCTATGGGATACATTTCCAGAATGGTTTTTGTTACCACTTTATAAACACTCTAAGTCAAACAAACAGCACAAATAACATCAATGTTGTCTTTTTTCCAATATCTGCATCAATTACTGCAGACTAATCCTAACATACACTATTTAAGAGGGGGCAGCAAAAGAAGAGAATCATAACACATTGCAAAGACAGGACTTTAGCATCTTAGTTGTAGGGGTGATCTTAAGGTGCAGAAAGAGGGGACTCTCTAGAAGGTGATGGTGTGGTTTCTTCAGGTGGAAAAACCGTGAGTGTGCAAGCTCGGATGCCACCAAGGGACTCTGGGAGATCAAAAACCTTATGCCACTCATCTTTATCTGGATCATATTTCTGCACTATCTCTACCATACAACGATTATTCCAGGAATACCCACCAACCACATAGATTTTATTTTCAAAGACAGCGACCCCAACATCACTCTGCCCTCTTAACATGGCAGCAATTGGGGTCCACTGGTCAAGAATAGGTGAGTAGTATTCACAGCTTAGGACATCATCATAATCACTTGTTCCTCTGAAGTGATTGCCACCAATAACATAGAGCCTTTCTCCCACTGTACACATGCAATGCAGACCTCTGACGGTGGTCATTGGTGCCTTCTGAATCCATTTGTCGGTATCAGGGTCAAAGCACATGAGCTCCTTTTGGAAAGTGTCATGAGTAATTCCTCCTAAAGAATGAAACCAATAGACATGAGGAAAAGAGATTTAAATATAAAAATGCAAAAGTAAATAAAAGGCTCTCTATTTTAGATAATTAACTTCTAGCCTCAGTTATGAGATTTTATAGCTTATGAATAGTATCTTTCTTACAAATGTCTGCCTTCTATATATACTTTCCCTGGATTAAAAAGAAAATAACAAGTTCATCTTCTTAAAGAACAAAAATATAGTTTATATTATTACAATGACTTTGTCAAATAGAGACCCATGGGATTTAAGAGGATTTACTGAATGGGGGGGAAAAAGTTGCCCCTTTTAGAGTTGGGTCTGCAGTATATTCCAACTACAAAGCAATATTCACAGCTAATGCTTTTTAGCAGTCACCCTCTGGGTGTTGAGCACAGGGCTGGGGCATTTAAATTCTAGGTGCCCATTTCCTCACTTGCTAAATAAAAGTATGTATGCTAATTATTTCATTAGAACTGTGACTATGACTATGAATTGAAATAAATCAAAATGCTTTGGAAAAGTTGAAAGTATTGTGCAGATATACAAGCTTATAAGATGTTCAGAATTATTTGTTTCTGTAGAGTTTTTGGTGGGTGGGTCGAGGGGGATAATGTCACATTCTATCAGCAGGGACATTTACAAAGTTAAAAAATTAGAAAGCCAAATATATATATAATTTTGTATGTGCAATAATTGGTTATTGATCAATTGAGTTGATATCATGTACAAAGTGTATTCTTAGATCACAAATAAATTGGTCTCTACAATAAAAGAATCACACTATATGTTCTGCAGGTTAGGGAGAGAACTAAACTAATTTTCAGCTACATCATATCAAAGCTCCACTATCTGGTGGCCAGATAAAAATCACTGCTTTTTCTTCCTTTTTTATTTTTTTATTTTTATTTTTGTACTTTACAGAATTATCAGATGGCAAAACAGTGTTCTTTGGTTTGAAAACTCAGCTATGGTTCCTACCCTATTCTTGATTATGAAGATCATGTATGCAATGTATGATAGTTATACCAAACCACCACTAGAACAATTCAGATGTCATTTTCCTCAGAGGATTTGGAGCTTTCATTATAATGGCATGGCATCTACACACAGCAAATAGATAGGTTGTATAAATGATTGATTAGTGGAGCATATGATTTTCTGGATGACTTTCAATATACAATGTCCCGTAGTTACTCATAAATTTAAAACAAAAAACCTGCCAATCACACAGTCCAGGCCTTTCCCTGGTCTTTCTTGATTATAGATTTCAGAGGGCAGTGTTCAGAGACTCAGAGCACAAACATCATCTTTGTTCTCATAATATAACTGCTGGCCTGGCACTGGCAGGCCCTCAAAAGGAGGACACATTGTCTGAGGTAATCTGTGTCACAGCCAAATGATAAGAACCTGCCTAACAAAAGAACATTTCAATTCCAGAGGTGAACATTGCATTTAAAATAAGACTCTTTTCTAAATTCTACAGAAGGATGATTTAAATATCAAAGTTTGAGAATGAAAGTTGCTACTGGGACACTGTAAGTGAACTGTAGCTGATTCATGAATTTTTTATAAGAAAAATATATGTGTGTGTGGCAAAAATGCATTTATCTTCTAAAATCAACATAAATTATATTTTTATTTTCTGTTTCTGGATTATTTTATTAAAATTATATAGAAATATAGTGACAGTTAAAAATTTATGTATTATATTAATAGGACTTGAATTATAAGCGCTTACCTGAAATATACATTACGCCTCCATACACAGTTCCAGCATGGCCATAGTGGGGCTCACTCATTTTGGCAACGTACGTCCATTCATTTGTTCTTGGATTATAACATTCTACTGTAGCTGTTGTTTAAAAAAAACAGAAAATAATTCATAATTTTACAATTTTTCAATTTCAAATTTTACAATTTTACAAAATAATTCATAATTTTACAATTTCAAATTTTACAATTAATTATTTTTTAGCTGGAAGAATAATAATATCCAAAATAACTGAAACATATCTATTATAGGTATGAGATCTTCTTTGGGGGATCATATTAATTATTGATATTATGTTAATAATTTGAACCATAACTACATGTTACAGTAAACTAGATACTTAGTGAATAATCTAACACATTTCTGTCACTGCAGAAATCATTAGGATTTTTTTCTTGTATATTTATAATTTGAAATTTCTCCCAATTTAAAAAAATGTGGAAAGAAAAGAAAAAATAATAATCATAAGGAAGAAAAACATTTCAATTCTAGGCCCCCAAGTTTATATACCATTTAGAAAAAAGGCTAATAGATATAAAGCAAAATTGTAAGTTGAGAATAAAAGTATGCACACTAGTTGGTGTATGTTCTTGTGCCTATTGCTTTATTTCATATCATTTCAGTTATTGTCAATGTCAAAATGGACACTGACAATAATTTTTCTACAACTATACATTAAATTCAATAGCTTGTATATACCCAGCAATGTTGCAGTAACTTGAAAATGATTGGCAGCATAATATGAAGTTAAGATTTTTACTAGCAATACTTCCCTCTCAGTAATAAACTTATAAATTTTAACAAAATATTTTAGAAAAGTGACCTCAACTTATTTAAATATCAATTTGTTATAAACTCAAAAATAGAACAATGACAATCCAGACAAATAGAAAATATGAGCCTTTTTTAAAGCTCAGAATCTAGATTGACTTGAAAAGTTTATATAATTTATTGCAGACACTGCCAGTTGCTAACCCAATTTCTTGTCTCCCTTAACCCTGCTTTCTTACTAACAAAACCATAACATTCTCAAGGAAAGCACTGTGCCAAATTTAAAATAACATTCAACTTATGAGGCCCCTTCAAGCTGGAGATGACCATTTAATATAGTTCTAGACAATGAAATAGAAGCAGAAATCTACTGGGTAGAGCTATTTGATCAAGCCACTGGAATAAGGTTTTGCTACCTGTAGCCAAATGAAATTTTAACTGATGAATCATCTTTTGAACAAGATTTCCTATTTAAGAAATAGCATGGGAAAACTGGAAAGAAATTGAGAGACTATTTTTCTACTCTATTCAATACTTTCATTTCTTCATCAAATTCACTATGTGAAGTACTTAATTCTCCTCTAACACCTTTTACTAATTCCTTTTTCACTTAGTTTAGATTTGAGCTTTCAGTCTTACTCCATAGGCTTTTTACAATTCTCATTCTGATCTACTCCCTTCTTAGTTTTGTTCTTTGCTTCAGGCTTGAACCCTTAATAACTCTATTTCTTCTAAACACTTCTATAAAGTAGCAAAATCCTGCAAAATATTTCCCCCAAAATAAGGGGAAGGGGATTTTTTCACAATTAATAATGAGCTAAAACGGCCATATTTTGCAGTACTGTTTTTTACTATGTCCAGTCACTGATGTCTTTAAATGTGCATTTCCATTTGCCTTTAGCATGATTTGCACCTACTTGACAAGCAAACTCCTACTGAATGGACATTATTATCTTCCTACACTTATAGAAAATCTAGTAGATTGATTGGTACTTGGTATCACCAAGGTAATTAATGGTAGAGTTTTAGCTAATAAAAAAGGAGTCTAATCACACATCCTGTCAGTAAAAGGGTTTTAAAAATTTAAGACTTCCAGAGATTATTTTTTCCATCTGCCTGAGGTCAAAGACAGATTTTACTGTAGTTCTGGGGTTTTTTCAATGAAAAACTCTGCTTTGAACTTTGAAATTTCTAGAGTGGAACAGCTTTAACTTATGTCTAATTCAATCTGTTTTGATGCAGTTTCCACTAGCTTCCCCTTATTCCTTTTAGTGAAGCTAGACATCGAATAACTACTCACTCTATATGATCATTAAATTTTACCCATGTAGAGGGATAATGCTATTTTTCTGTCAGTAAGTTAATTGCAGTTTTCCTTATAGAGGCTATAAGAATCCATCTATACATACATCTATACATATATAATCCATCAATACATATGTATAATTTCTTATACAGAAGCCCCTAAGTATAAGATGGCTATTAACTACCAATAACATAATATATAATAGTTCATCATCTATAAACTTATCTTCTTCTAACTAAATAATCCATCTCCTTTAACTCTTCCCATCATGTAATTTCTAATTCCTCATGAAGAATTGCTGTTGTTATTAGTAAAATAAATAGTAGTTTTAAGTTAGAATATATTTATTTCTGTTTTCCCTTATTTCTGTTTTCCATATTTACAAGTTTAGTGCCACAAATTCAATAGGGAGAGAAACAAGCATGGCAAGAAGTTGGAGCCCCAAAGCAGTGGTTCCATCATAGTATATGAGAGTTGGGACTGGTAATGTGGAAACTGGGAAAATCTACAACAGGGTCAGGCAAACTACAGCTAGGAAGTAAAATCCAGTATGCCATGTGCTTTTGTATGAGCCACAAGATAAAACCAAGTTTCTACATTTTTTATAAGTTGGAAAAAATCAAAGGAAGAATATATGAAAATTTTATACATTTCACATTTTTGTTTTCGTATACAAAGCTTAAGTAGAATACAGTCTCATCCATCCTTATATAATAAGAGAGAAATATGCTAATTAGTCATTACACCATGAGGCATAATGACCAACTGCCAAATGACCTGATCATGGATCAGCAGGAGGGTGGGGCAGCGAACTACAAGCAGGTGGTGGAGAGCTACAGGAGGGGGCAGGGCAGCAAGCTATTGAGGGAGGGCAGGTGGAGCTACAGGAAGGTGGCAGCAACCTACTGGCACACAGATTTGTGTACAGGGCTACTAGTTTGTTTATAAATTGTCTATAGTTACTTTTGCAATATAACAGCAGAGTTGATTAGTTGTGAAGAATTTCTACAGCCTGCAAAGCTGAAAATATTTTTTCGGGCCCTTTAAAAAAGTTTGTTGAATCCTCTCATCTTCAGTGGTCTGGTGGCCTGTTATAAACTAGAAACTATATCCAATTTAATAATTACACTTAGGTTGGTTGTTTTACATATTTTAACAGGAATATTATTTTCTCAGGCAGTTCTACTGGAGTCCAGAATTGGTCCCAAAAGATGATGTATAATTTAATTGTTCTTGGAGATTAGGAAACAGATTAGGCCCGAAGAAAACCATTTGGACAAAAATGGCGCCCAAAGAGGGGGGATGGGCTCTAGAATCCTAACATACCAGTGATTTGTTGCTTAATGAAGAAAACCCTAAATCCACTAAGGGATATGGAGGCATTTGATAAATTTCAGCAAGTTTATTGTATATTTATTTGAAAAAAAATTTTAACTTGTTTTCTATTAAGTTATTTCATTATTTGAAATCTTGACTCATTAATATTTAACTGAAGAGAAAGTTATCTGAGCTGTCATATTTCTCTTCAATATAGAAAACCTCAATGGAAAATCGATTGCTTATATGACAGAATTTTGAAAGATGCTAGAAATAACAGACTCCCTTTTCACTTAAGTGACAGTTATTCTTATGCTTCTCCTACTTTTCCATTGTACCTGGTGTCAAAGTAAGGCAGTGTTTCTAAGGAGTTATATTTCATCAAAATTCCAGGCTCATACACACAGTAGTAGTATCATTTTGATGTACTGTGGACTTGGTATCATGCACTCAATGAAAATATTTTAAAAGGCCAAAATGCATTAAAATTATCTAAGATGCTTTGCAAATGCTGTCACATTTCTTTTCATATTGATGTGCTGGTTTTAATGAACCTGTTAAATTATTGATGTTTCTATCTCTCTCTCCCCATCTCACTTCTCTGAAATCAATAAAAACATACTTTTTAAAAAGAATTTATTTAAAACCAAAACCTGCTGTTATGCAAAAACAATGGGCCCATTGAAACCGGTTTGGTTCAGTGGATAGAGTTTCGGCCTGCAGACTGAAGGATCCCAGGTTCAATTCGGGTCAAGGGCATGTACCTTGGTTGCGGGCACATCCCCAGTGGGGAGTGTGCAGGAGGCAGCTGGTAGATGTTTCTCTCTCATTGATGTTTCTAACTCTCTATCCCTCTCCTTTCCTCTCTGTAAAACATCAGTAAAATATATTTTAAAAAACAAACAAACAAATAAATAATGGGCCCAAGATAATTGGAAAGGGGAACTGGCACATGCAAAGAGAAACATTATTAACAGAATCCAGAAGAACTTATTGATACTGTTTTTTTGGGATGTAATCAGGGCAGGTTACATCAGGCTTGGTTATATCAAGTTCACTTCTTTTTTTATATATATTTACAGAGAGGAAGGGAGAGAGATAGAGAGCCAGAAACATCGATGAGAGAGAAACATCGACCAGCTGCCTCTTGCACACCCCCTACCGGGGATGTGACTGCAACCAAGGTACATGCCCCTGACCGGAATCGAACCCGGGACCTTTCAGTCCGCAGACTTACGCTCTACCACTGAGCCAAACCGGTTTCGGCTCAAGTTCATTTCTTGCTCCCACTTGTGGTTAGCATAAAAGGCACATTAAGGAAGTGGGGTGGGTCCAGAAAAAAAAAAAATGAAGCTTCCTGCTTCTTTGTTTTATGTAATGTCTCTTTTGGCCTGAAGGTTCTCCTGGAATCAAGAATTTTAGTGAACTTGTTAAGTGAACGATAATTTTAAAAAACAACTTTCAATATACTTAAAATACTTAATATATACTGGATTTACTGGGTATGCTGATTTTAAGGGAAGCAATCATTTTCTTTAAAAAAAAGTTTAGTTACCTACAGATTATAGGAGAAGATTTTAATGGAAAAGAATATCAAATAGTTGGCCTTTCAATGTTTCTTTTCACTTTCAAACTGAAACACAGTAATTTTTAATAAGAGATAGAGGTGATTTCTAAAAGTCATGAACAAGGAAGCCAGACACTTGCCCAATAGGGTAGTCTGCTTCTTCTTCTCCACTAAGTATAAGATGGGAAGAGCTCAAACAGGGTGGGGATCAAGTCAAAAAAATAAAACCTCTAGCTTCTTGGTTGTATGTAATGATTCTTCTTGGCCTAAAGATTATAGATTCTCAGAACAATAGGCTTCTAATTAATATAAGGAGCATATATTGAAAACTTAATAGCTGCATATTAACAAAGGTGATAACATCAACAAGCAAGCACTGACTGAAAAATTGAACTATTTCCTTTGAGGAAAAAAAAACTATTTCAAAATGACCATTGACTGTCAGGGTTGATGACCAATAATTTGTGAAATCATAAAGATTATCTTAGACCCATGGTTTTTCTAAGAAAGTGCCAAGTCACTGTTTGTATCTTGTGAATATTTCTAGATACCATAAATTTAAAATAATATAATAACATGAAAATAATGTGTAGGGGTTAACTGAAGCAACCTAAAATGGAAATTCTACCCTAAGGCTACTAATGCTGCAAATGCTTTTAAAAGTAATATTATTCCAATATATTGGGAAACCTGTGTGGTTCATTGTCATAGAACCTAGTCCAACAATCTAGAAAGCTTGGTCTTTGAAAAAAAAAAAAAAGTCACTGTAACAACAAAAGAGGAAAAAACTGGGTAGAAAAGATCAGTACCATTAAGACCATGTCACTAACAAGTGAGGACCCGAGAAGCTAAAAAGTGTAAAAGCTGAGAGCAATTAGTTATGTCTCTGATAAATAGCTTACTCTCAAATCCATTAAACTACTTTTTATGTCTTAGACTACTGAAGAGAAATATTCTCAGAATTACTCTTAATTTATCCCAAGCCAGTATTTTAAACTTTCCTAGTATTCTGGAACCTGGACTACTGGATAACTACAGGGACTCTATAACAGAAAATAAAAAAGAGGAGGGGGGCCAAACAATGATGGTCATGACAGATATGTAAGGCATGATATAAAATGTGGATTTCCTTACTTCCCTTTTGAACACCAATCTTATTCCAATTTTATCTAAAATAACAGAAATATATACCTTCTGCTTTTAATTTATATAGCCAAAGTACTGCTATGTTAATTGTACATATAACCAATCTTAGATTAGAAGGAAAAAAAAAAAGAGTGACCATTAAATAAAGTTTACCAGATCAGTTTACAGTGAAGAAAACTGGTATTTCACCGAGAGAATTATTTTTATTTTTATTTTTATTTAAAAATATATTTTATTGATTTTTTACAGAGAAGAAGGGAGAGGGATAGAAAGCTAGAAACATCGTTGAGAGAGAAACATCGATCAGCTGCCTCCTGCAACCCCCCACTGGGGATGTGCCCACAACCAATGTACATGCCCTTGACCAGAATCAAACCTGGGACCTTTCAGTCTGCAGGCCAATGCTCTATCCACTGAGCCAAACCAGTTTCAGCAGAGAGAATTATTTTTAAAACTAATAGTAACAGATTATAATATTCACAGTAAATAAACATTGGATAACATTGAACTTCATACATTCAATCAATAAAGAAAATTATGCTGGAACTGGTTTGGCTGAGGACTGAAAGGACCCAGGTTCGATTCCGGTCAAGGGCATGTACCTTGGTTGCGGGCACATCCTCAGTAGGGGGTATGCAAGAGGCAGCTGATGGATGATTCTTTCTCATTGATGTTTCTAACTCTCTATCCCTCTCCCTTCCTCTCTGTAAAAAGTCAATAAAATATATTTTTAAAAAATAAATAAAAAGAAAATTATTATGTAACCTGTGAAAGGTAACAGATTAGGTAAAAGAAAAAAAAAACACAATAAAAATCATTGCTCTGTAAAGAAGAATTTTAATCTGTTCGGTAAAATAGTATGTGGCCTTTTAAAAATGAAAATTAGGGGACATGCCAAACTTCTGCCCAAGATTCTATTATAATTTTAATTAGCAGGATGCATTCTGTAGTTAAAATTTCAAGATGAAAAGCATACATACTGTGCAAATCAAATATTATGCAACATATTGATGTATTTATGAGATACAATTTGTACCATGGCCAATAATAGATGTCCAGATAAGGCATACTGTTTGCATCTGATATTTTCTAAGAAAAACAGTTTGAAATGTAACCCTAAATACATTTTTTGTCTTTCATTTTAGAAGAACTGTTTATTTTATTATTTGACAAGAATTTCAGGGTAAAGAAACTTACGAAGTTCACCAGCTGCATTTCGACCACCAACTGCATACAGATATCCTTTGAGAGCACTTAGGTGAAAAAAGGTGCGCTTCTCATTTAAAGATGCGACTTGCATCCATTTATTGTATCGAGGATCAAATCTGAAGACTGTATCGACAGCGGTTTTTCCTTTTGTGTCATAATTACTCTGTCCTCCAACGACATAGAGGAAATTTCCAATGACGGCAATGCCATGCTGGTACCTTGGGGCATCCATAGGGGCTAATGATTTCCATTCATGGGACTTTTCATCATACATGCGCAATTCCTTGCTGACAACCAGCTGCTGCCTCAGCACTCCTCCTAGTGTAACCAAATGAGTGGTGTCAGATCGAATGGCAGTCCTGTCTGACTGCATAACTGGCTGCATGTATGGCATCATTTGGTAATTGCTGGCTTCCAAAAGGAGATTCACACAAGTATTGTCAGTTCTCATGAAATCCACGGTTTGCACATAATTAATCAGCTCTTGTGGTGTCATCAGTGGGAATCGTATATTCTTCATTAATTTTGCAGCAAAGTCCATCCGAGGCTCTTCCAATCGTAACCAGCGACAGGTAGCCTTAAAGAGCTCAAGTTCAGTGCAATGCTTAAGGCTATTACTGGAAAGCACGAAGGCAAGACGCTCAAAGGGGAGTTTCAAGAACTCCCCAGTGCTCAGCAATGCAGGAAAATTCTTCAGGACGAAACTGTTAACGTATTTATCCACTTCTGTCAGATTGTAGGTGTTGGCAATCCGCCCAACTTCAACACAATTGTCTAAAGTGACCTATTAAGCCAACAACAACAAAAGAAAAAATGAAAACATGACTACTTTCATGACACATCCAGATAACATAAATACCTGTTCTGGAAGAAGAATAAATGATGCTTTTACTGTCCATATAGATGCTAATAAAGATTTGTAACTAAATACATTAATGATCTAAAGAAAATTTGCAAACCACCTTTACCTAATCCAGTAGAAGGGTGACTAAAAACATATAATCATTCAAAATCAGTAGGTTAGAAGTTACTCTAAAAAAAAAATACACCTATGCTATTAGTTGACTATGGTAAAAATTACAATAAGTCCTCAATATTGTCAATTATTGGAACAAAATTGGAACTGTGGTGAAAAGACATATAATAAAACTAATTTTACCACAAGCTAATTGATAAAAACAAGAGTTCAATTCCTACTGCATCTCATCAATGCCGTAATGTCATAAATAAATGACATTATTCAAGGACCTGTTGTATTCTTCTCTCCTGAAAAATGTGTGCTCTCCTCCCTCAAGAAATACTAATTAAATTCTGGCCAGATGGATATTTTGATAAAATAGAGGGTTATTCTATTATAATTCATCACAATCCTCCTTTCATTCATGATACTTAAAAGTAACACAGCTAGAAGATCCACTAACATAAAAGTTCTAATACTTTATTTTTATACAACAAAGCCATATATAACAAACACTCAGCCAACATCATAGTCAATGGTGAAAAACTGAAAGCTTTTTCTCAAAAATCAGGAACAAGACAAGAAAGCCCACTCTCACCATTTTTATTCAACATAGTTATGGAAGTCCTAGCCAGACCAATAATGCAAGAGAAATAAATAAAAGCCATTCAAATTGGGAAGGAAAAAGTAAAAGTGTCAATTTTTCCAAATATGATTCTATATATAGAAAGGTCTAAAGATGCCACCAAAATACTATTGAGATAAAAAAAAAAATACAGTAAAGTTGCAGGATAAAAAAAATCAATGTACAAAAATCCACTGCTTTCCTATATACTAACAATGAAACTTCAGTAAAAGAAATGAAAAAAAAATTCTATTTGAAATTGCAACCAAAAAATAAAATACCTAGGAATAAAATTAACAAAGCATGTGAAGGTTTGTATACTGAAAAAGATTGAAAAAGACACAATAAAATGGAAAGCTATTCCATGTTCATGGATTGGAAAAAAAATCAATATAGTTAAAATGTCCATATTACCCAAAACAACATACAGATTTAATGCAATCCTGATCAAAATGCCAATGTCATTTTTAAAAAACATATTTTATTGATTTCAGAGAGGAAGGGAGAGGAAAAAAGAGCTAGAAATATCAATGATGAAAGATAATAATTGATTGGCTGCCTCCTGCACTAGTGATTGAGCCTGCAACTCAGGAATATGCCCTGGCTGGGAATCAAACTGTGACCCGCTTGGCCCCAATGCTATTTTTTTAGTGAAAAGGGACAAAATACCCTGAATAGTCAAATAATCCTGAGAAAAGAATAAATAAATCTGGAGGTATTATACTATCTGACTTCAAATTATACTACAGAACTACGATAATCAAAACAGCATGATATTGGCAGAAAAACAAACACACAAATCAACGGAACAGAATTGAGAGCCCAGAAATGTTAATAAAACCACATATATAGAAAGCAATAAGTTTAATGTTTTTATTGACTTGAGACTTGAAAGAGAGAGGGAGAGTGTGAGAGAGAAACATCCATCCAAGAGAAGAACACTGATCAGCTGCTTTCCTTACACACCTCTACCAGGGATGGAACCCACAACCTGGACATGTGCACTATCAGGAAATAAACCATCAACCTTTTGGTGCACAGAATGATGCTCAACCAACTGAGCCACAACAGCCAGGGCTGGGCAAATGATTTTAAAAAAAATATATTTTATTGATTTTTCACAGAGAAGTAGGGAGAGGAATAGAGAGCCAGAAACATCGATGAGAGAGAAACATCGACCAGCTGCCTTCTGCACAGCCCCTACCTATCAGGGATGTGCCTGCAACCAATGTACATGCCCTTGACAGAAATCAAACATGGGACCTTTCAGTCTGCAGACTGACGCTCTATCCACTGAGCCAAACCAGTTTCAGCTGGGCAAATAATTTTTGACAAAGGAGGCAAAAATACACAATGGAGAAAAGAAAGCTTATTTAATAAATGGTGCTGGAAAAGTTGGAAAGCCACTTTTGGAATAAAAGTAGATTACAGTTTAGCTCCATGTATGAATATCAGTTCAAAATTAATCAGATTTAAACATAAGATCTGAAACAATAAATTAAATAGATGAAAACATAGACTCTATATTTATGAACCTTGGTTGCAGAAAACAGTTTATGAATTTGATCTCAAAGGCAAGGGAAGTAAAGGCAGAAATAAATGGGACTATATCAAACTAAAAAGCTTCTGGACAGCAAAAGAAGTCAACAATGAAACAAAAAGGCAAACAACTGAATGGGAGATGTTATTTGCAAACAACAGTTCCAATAAGACATTAATATCCAAAATATATAAAGAACTCATACAACTCAACACCAAACAATCTAATTTTAAAAAAATGGGCAGAGGATCTGAACAGACATCTCTCCTAAGAAACATAAAAATGGCCAACAGATATATGAAAATATGTTCAACTTCATTAGCTATTAGGGAAATGCAAATCAAAACTACAATGAGATACCACCTCACACCTGTTAAAATGTGTATTATCAACAAGACAGGTGATAACAAGTGTTGGAGAGGTTGTAAAGAAATAGTAGCCCTCATTCACTGCCGCTGGGAATGTAAACTGGTACAACATTATGGAAAACAGTCTGATGGCTCCTCAAAAATTAAGAATAGAGTTACCATATAACCCAGAAATCCCTCTCCTGGGTATCTACCTGAAAAACTAAAAAAAAAAAACAAAAAAAAAACCAAAAAAAAAACACCTTTATTCACAAGGATATATATACCCCTATGTTTACTGCAGTATTAATCACAGTGACCAAGACATGTAGACAAAGTGTCCTGAAATAGATGATTGGATAAAGATGTGGTACATATACACAATAAAATACTACTCAGCCACAAGAAAATATAAAATAATGTTATTTGGGACAACATGGATGGACCTTGAGAATACTATGCTAAGCAAAAAAAAGTCAGTCAGAAAAATCTAAGAATCATATGATTTCACTCATATGTAGAATATAAAACTGAAATTCATAGACACATACAACCAGAGGGAAGGTTAAAGGGTTTAGTAAAGGGGTAAGGGGGCAATATATGGTGATGGAAGATGATTTGATTTTGAGTGGTGGCCACACAATGCAATATACAGATCATGTATCATACAAATGTAAACATGAAACCTATATGGTCCTATTAACCAATATCACCCCAATAAATTTAATTTAAAAAGTGAGGTTTATTCTATTATGGTTCATCTCAATCCTCTTCTCAGTCATGATTCTAAAAATTAACACAGCTATCAGATCCACTAACAGAAAAGTTCTAATACCTGATTCTTAGATTTATCTTTCATGTAAACAGGCTTCATTCATTATTATTTCTTCATTCATTACTACTAGTTTTGATTCCTTCAAAAGTAATTGCTTATAGAAAAAAATAATTCAATCAGACAATTATTCTTAGAAGTATTTTATTTTCCACATTATTTATCTGGAAATATAAGCAACTGAAACACTTTCATGATAGCTGGAATAGGTGTGTGTACCTCAAATTACTCATAGAGTTTGGTTAGTTTCTGGTATCTATGATATGCCATGTAGTTTATATTAGCCACTATTCTTACTCTTAGCATTACTCTAGCTCTGCCTGAAGTCAAAATGAGCTGAGAAATACTTCCCAACACAGAGCAAAATATGCCAAAAATGGAAATCAAATAAAAGGAAAGAAGCTATGGAGAGGCCCCTCTTTTGCAGAAGCTCTTTTCAATAATCTGATAACTGGCTAGTCAAAAGTGAAAGGAGAAAATTTATATTGTTAATGGTGGGGAGAGGCCTTCATCCCTACCTGTTGCTCAGAGGAGTGAAATTTTTACAATATCTTGAGAAAAAGAATTTACTGAGACTTACATGGAGAATTAGTAATTTTTATTTTGTGTGGAATTAAATCCTTTCCCCATGCCCTGCCATAGTAGTGTAGTTGTGTCTTCAGCAGAACTAAAATCAGAACCAGTGTCCAGAGTTTCATTTCCATAACTGCACAGTGTCCAGTACTGCCTTAGGCTAGCTTAGCTTGTGTTCCCCAATGTAGTCCATTAGTCCATTGCTTGTGGGGACTGCATGGCTATGGGCCACATGAGCAAGAGAGCCAAGAGGCACAAGACCCAAGAGCAAAAGAGAATGAATTCCTTTGGTTAGGGGATTATGTATGCCCAAATTTTTGCAGGCTTGCATTGGGTCCACGCATTCTTGCCAATCCACTGTACCACAGTGATTTGTAAGGAATAGGCTGATGGTTCCCTGGGGTGTATAAAGTTGCAGCTTCCTGGTGAAGTTGCCCAGATGTTCATGCTCATAATGTTTGGACTTCCTTTTGTTCCTTCCCTATTAACCAGAGGCCCAGCGCAAAAAAATTCATGCATGGGGATGGAGGTGTCCCTAAGCCCAGCCTGCACCCTCTCCAATCTGGGACTCCTCTCACAATCCAGGACTGCTGGCTCCCAACTGCTCACCTGCCTGCCTTCCTGATTGCCCCTAATCACTATGCCTGCCAGCTTGATCACCCCTAACTACCCTTGCAAGCCTGATTGATGTCTAACTGCTCCCCTGCCAGCCTGTTCGCCCCCAACTTCTCTCCTCTGCCAGCCTTGTCACACCTAACTGCCCTTCTCTGCAGGCTTGATCACCCCCAACTTCCCTCCCTTGCAGGCCTGATTCCTCCCAACTGTCCACCCCTGCTGGCCTGATCACCCACAACTGCCTTCCCTTGCAGGCCTGATCCCTCCCAACTGCCCTCCCCTGCTGGCCATCTT